GAGTTCTATTCAAACAAGGAGATAGCAATTTTGTTTATTCCTTCCTAAGTTAGGAATCCTACTGCATTAAGGAATAGTCAAGTCAATTCCTACTAGGAAGTGCTTGAACTGATCTCTTCATTTTAATTTGTTTAGGTTTGGTTCTTTTATTGGTTTTCTTGTTCGTTCCTTTGTATCTTTTCTATTTCCTTTAACTCTTGCAGATTTGTTGGAGTTAGATTGCTGCAAAATAACTTGAATTGAACTTGTTTAGTTCAATAACGAACTGAAAAAGGAAAGTTGAGTGAGGGAAAAAGGCAAGAGGTGTGAGCAACACTTGAGAGAAAAGCCAAGTTCTACAGTGTGTAAAACACGAGCGTTGAGTGCCATTCTGTGAGAAAGTGGAGTGAAACACGTAAGGGAGTGTTGTGAGGTCCTTTTTATTCTTCTATTTCTAACATTTGTTGCAGGTTTCAATCATGTCAAGTAGTGATGACAAATCAACCACTAGAAGCCACCATGTGGATGAATCCTTCATGCTCAAAGCAATGCAACAACAATTTCAGAGGTTGGACATCATGTTTGGTGAGATTAAAGACAAAATGGAGAAGCAAAATGCAACGATAGCCAAGTTATATCAAACACAGAATGGAAGTCCAAATTTGCATAGGAATGATGCTAATGATGATTTCAATGACAATTATAAAGATGCATTTAACAATGACGCCCAGAGCTCAAATTTCAGCATGGACAGAATTATGAGAGGTAGAGGGGGCCAAAGAGATCAAAATCTGACAAGGTGGGGATATCGGCAAGATCAAAACCTGATTTAGCTTTCCTGGAGTTTAGAAATCCCTTGTCGTGCTGTGGGTCTCATTGTTCTCTTTGGGGTTCTCATCAATTACCTATTGATGAACAAGCTAGTTTGGGTGAGAAAAAGAAAGCTGAAGTGGTTAAGCAACTACATGAGAAGGTGCAGCAAAACATAGAGCGACGAATTGAGCAATATGCAAATCAAGCCAACAAAGGGCAAAAGAAAGTTGTGTTTGAACCTGGACATTGGGTTTGGGTGCATATGCGGAAGGAGCGATTCCCTGCACAAAGGTGTTCTAAGTTGCAACCAAGAGGCGATGGACCATTTCAAGTGATTGCAAGGATAAACGACAATGCATACAAGTTGGAGCTTCCTGGTGAGTATAATGTTAGTGCTACTTTTAATGTTTCTGATCTTTCTCCTTTTGATGTAGATGACGATTTGAGGACAAATCCTTTTCAGGAGAGAGGGAATGATGGGAATCAAGACGACAGCATATCTACTACGCCATGTGATCCATTACACACCCAAGGAGGTCCAGTCACGCGAGCTAGAGCTAGGAAGATGCGAGAAGCTTTAAATGGCCTTATTGAGCAGATCTGGGTTGATAACAACATGCAAGAGGTAAATCGAAGCTTGGATGATTATCAAGGCATGATAAACGTCATTCAGGTTCAAGAGAAGCTTAATTGAGGTCATTCATGCTAAATTACACAGTTTGCGAAAATCTCGCAATTCTGTCACAATTTGTAACAAACTGATATTTCATGTTACTTTAGGTTACTTTTAGTAATTTTCACATTTTTTATATTATTTTAGGCTGAACATTCATTTATTTAAGGCCCAATTCGTGGTTATTATGATTAGAGCTTAGGGTGTTAGTTTCCTATTCTGATTAGAATTATTTTTCCCTATTTAAAGGGGCTTGTAACCCTAATTGAGGGGAGGCGATTGAATCTGAGATTTTGAGAGACTTTTCTCTTTGGTTCATTTCAGAACTTTACAGAACTTATCAAAATTATTCTTGTGGCGTTCTAACCTGACTTATCGTTCTTGTTCTTAATTGTTCGAGGGTGTGGCGTCAACCAACTTTATACCTCTGGTTCTTGTTGCGTCATACACAATGGGTCCCACTTCATCTAGGATGTGATTTTCTAAGATGCAACTTCATTTTTTTCTTTTCTGATATGCAACTTCATCTTTTCTTCTTTGACAATGATCTTGAATCGAATTAGTATTTCTTCAAACTTCAATAATTAATGCCCCTTTCCAATGTTCGATTCCATCTTGAACTTTCATCAATATCTCAACTTTAAACCTTGAAGGCTCAAGAGATTAACAAGTGTCCTTTAGTGTCATCTTGAATTGTCATTAATCTTTTCCATCTTTGATGATGCTTTAAATTTCATGAACATGTTTGAGTCACCCATACTATCATCAGGAATTTAATGCATCTACTTGTCATTTGTCAAATCTTACATGCAAAAATGATGATTTTTGAACCTTTCAAAGATGCTAAAATTAATGTCAAATTTAGTGATGTTTAAAACAATCATGGGCAAGATTAATGAAAAATCTTTGTGAAGCACAACAGATTATATGAACAAACAATGTGATTTAACTTCCATGAATAGCAACTACCACTTTGACCTATAATGCAATTATGATGCCCTTTTTTTTAATTTTTTTTTATAACAACTTCCAAAACAAAAAATTCTTTCCTTACTCTTATTTTTTGAATCCTCATCTTATCTTTTTTTTTTTTTTCGTGCTCGAAAAGAAATTGATCCCATTTTCACAAATGAGCAACTTCCTCAAGAATAGCTTTGTAGGGATAACAATAGTGAAAGCACCAATTACTTCCCGAATTAACAATCAAGTGACAATGGAATTTTGAGTCTTCCAAAAATTCGAATTTTGGCTAGAGCAATGAAATTCTTCCAATGAAATCTCAACTTATTTGCCACATTTGTTTCTCTTCATCCTCCTTCCTTTTTTTTTATTATATTTGGAGAAATATCATACTCAGATTCAACAGCCTTCAGATTCTTCGAAGGGCTTTGAATAAGCTTATATCATGGTCTAGGGCTTGGCCAATTAGAAAGAAAGGATATATATGCTCAATGACAAAAAATCCCTTCTTCCCCCCCATGTCACTCTTCACACCCTAAGCTCTTGATGCAGGTACATTCAAAGAAATAATCATCTTGGCTTTTCTATAATGATGATTGCCTTTTCTTTTGGCTCACAATGGGTAACTAAGGTCGACTTTAGTGTTTGGAAAAAAGAAACAAAGCCTTTCATCATTGAACCTAAAAGCTCTTTAATCTGAGTATGATTTGCTATCCCTAGTTTGATGATTGTCATCATCAAAATGTCTATGAATATCCAACCCTTAAAAAGGGCTTTTATGAATTATTATAGGGCTTAGGTGTATGGTTATTGAAAGAATAATCAATATAGGCTCAAAATACCTCACTTGCCTCCAATTGCATGCCATGTCTTGGAGATTTCTTCTTCAATTTATTTTAAAAATTTCTTCTCCTTTATCCCCATTTTCGTCTTTTTCTTTTTTTTTTCTTTTTTATTATTATTATTATTTTTTTGGGTTTCTACTTTCTCCGAGCTTCTTTCTTCCTGATGGGAATCAAGATGACACCATATCTACTACGTCATGTGATCCATTACACACCCAAGGAGGTCCAGTCACGCGAGTTAGAGCTGAGAAGATGCATGAAGTTTTAAATGGCCTTATTGAGTGGATCTGGGTTGAAAACAACATACAACAAGCAAATCAAAGCTTGGATGATTATCAAGGCATGGTAAACATCATTCAGGTTCAAGAGAAGCTTAGTTGAGGTCATTTGCACGGAATTACACAGTTTGCGTTAAAATCGCACAGTTCTGTCGTAATTTGTAGCAAACTGATATTTTGTGTTATTTTAGGTTATTTTTAGTGATTTTCACGTTTTTTGTATTATTTTTGGGCTGACCATTCGCTTATTTGAAGCCCAATTCGTGGTTATTAGGTTTAGGACTTAGGGGGTTAATTTCCTATTCTGATTAGGATTTGTTTTCTCTATTTAAAGGGCTTGTAACCCTAATGGGGGGAG